AGTCAGAAACAAAACTTTTACGAGTTGTTTCGTCACATTCGCTGTATTTATTTGCCTCGTGTCTACCTTTCAAATGTTGTTCTACATGATCCATTGGTAAAGAATAATATAGACTGCTCAAATTGTGCACAAGATGCTATGAAAGAGGTGTTTAATGGAGGAGGAGAATGTTATTTTGCTCAGTCACCAAGAAACTGCCTGAAAATTCATGAAAATGCTATTGTTGCCTGTGGAAAAAACAGCACACTCTGCTACATACCATCAGTAGACAAGTGGTACAAGTTGTCAGATATGCTATCCACAAGGTACTTTTTTAGTCAGTCCATCAGTGTGTGTCAAGGGAAGTTGTTCTTTATTGGAGATACATATGACAGTGATACATATGGTTGTCCCGCAGAACATTATGATCCATCAGTAAACACTTGGTTTCCTCTGGGCTCTTTCAAGCAAAGAGTCAAGTGGTGTACTGTCGTGACATTTCAGGGCTTGCTCTATGTCATGGGTGGAGTGGAGCAGAAAGAAAACAAACTCTTAAACACAGTGCAGAGATACAATCCTGATACAAACCTGTGGCAAGTGGTGTCCTCTCTAAGTAGTCCCAGGTCAAGTATTTGTGCAGTAGGTACTAGAAGTTACTTGTATGCTATTGGAGGCAAATCAGATGTTGAACCTGTCAACATTGTTGAAAGATTTGATCCAAAGGAAAAGGCATGGTGCCTGGCTGCCCCAACTCTTGGAAAACGAGTGGCTGCTTGTGGTGTAGCTGTCAATGAAAAAATGTTTGTGTTTGGTGGCTTCAGGAGTGAAAAGTACTCACACTCAAGCTTCTGTGAAATGTATGACCCAGTAACTGACATGTGGAGTAGCATTGCAAATACAATTACCCCAAGAGGGTATACAAGTGCAGTGAGTTTCAAAGGAAACATTTTTGTGTGTGGTGAGTTTGGAGAAGATGCTTCTCTGCAAATTTACAACATTGTTACCAGTGAGTGGAAATTTTGCACCAAGTTTCCCCAGAGTACCGAGAAATTTAAAATTTCTTGTTTAAGAATTCCAAGAGAGGTTTTGGATAAATGTGAAGTACTTTCATAGACATGCATGTGTTATATTATTTTACTTTTCTTCAAGCCCATACTTCCTAAGATTGCTGTGTGGAAGTATAATGTGGCAAGGATTAATTAAGAAAATAATAATCTTGGGGATGTTGTCTTTTTGTACATCAGATTGTCATCAAAAGTTGTAAGTCTAAGAAGGAAATTTTTATACGGAAATCGTAAGTATTTTACTTACATTTTATATTTAGAACAATTAAACATTTTACCAAAAAGTCTGTAACCAAAAGTCTGATCTGTCAGGTAATTTGCTGACAAATTTGTATTGTATTACGCATTTTGTATGATTTTTAAACTTGGAAAATAGAGGTGGAACGATTTCTCTCAATCACTCAATCACTCCATCACTCCTTCACTCCTTCACTCCTTCACTCCTTCACTCCTTCACTCCTTCACTCCTTCACT